GTCATCCACAAACAGCATTCCTGAAGCCGACGTTTCCATGTCCCCTACTTTTACTCCCTTCCGGACTGCCTCTACGACTTCCAACAGATCGTTGATGAACACCTGGAACAATGTTGGGGACAGCGTGCAACCTTGTGGGACCCCCTGCTCAAGGTCGAAGAATTTCGACAGTTTTCCGTCTAACATGACCGCGCTTTTCGTACACTCTGTCATCTTCTTCAGCACTCTCCACATTTTCCCCTTGGCGAAGGCAACAAAATGCTGTTCGGTATACCTCGGCTTGCTCTGTTCGTCAGGGCTTCGAACGAGGTCGAAGACTACTGTGAAAAAGGCATCCAGGGCAAAATAAGTTCCTCAAGTAACACGACAAAAAGCTCGATGGGTACTTATATTCAGGGAGGCACACCGCTGAAGAAACCTCACCTCAAAGAGGATGAAAAAAATGTGAGACCGCCCTGCAAGAGTTGTATTCCCACGAGGTACTCAACTGAACACATTTCGTAGTCGTCAGACCATTCACCTAGCATCCCTTTAAGCCGGGACCGAACGATATCCTGGCTTTTTCGCCGGCCCAGATTATGTTCCACAAGGATGAAACACAATCTAGAAGAGGGGGTGGCGGGGGGGGCACTTACGTCGAACTTCTCCTCGAGCGACATGATGATCTCGACCGTGTCCAGGGAGTCTGCGTCGAGGTCCTCGATGAAGTTAGAGTCGATCTTCACCGATCCCTGCTTCTCGAGCTGCTCTCCCACAACCTCGATCACCTTACGTCATGAGCGCGAGTCGGGAAGAAACGAAATGCTGAAGAACACAACATCGTTGTCTGTACACCATACATTCGAGCATCATCCATCCCGTGTTCTCCAGACTTTACTGGCACTACGCCAAACGTTGTTCATTGAACGCTGGGGTGTAGAAGTCAAATAAAAAACGTCTTCAACACGAACAAAGAACGTCACAGCAGCGTTCGCCCGAACCGATTGAACTGGCTCTCTCAGTAATACTTTCAATTGCCACGATCAACGATTGCACGAACAAACTTCCCTTGACAAACGCCTCCGCAAATCGCACCAACGGGCTTCGCGAAACCCTGCTGCACGCAGCTGCCAACACATGTGTTCAAACAACACCAAATGCTGTGCGTGCACACACGCCCCGCGTTCCCCGAGGCTACAAGCCACCACCATCGCTCTTGACCATAGATTTAAATCCCTTATTCACCTGAGCCTCGACCTCGCTCGCGTCTGCCATGCGGACGGGCGCGACCGAAGACCGTGCGCAGGTCCGCTGCTGGGCTACGAAAGAGTTGGTTCCCACCGGCGCGAAGAAAGCGGCGCTGTCGCCGTCAAAACACAATGAGGGCACGAGCGGGGTATTAAAATCGTGGCCCCTTGCAGAGTTAAGGCCGCACAATACAAGGCAGTGTCCAAATATTGCCAGTGATACGCGTGACACCGACAGATTAGGTTGTATCACACTCTCGGACAGCAGCGTCGAACGCCTAGGCCGTCTAAATCCCGTGGCACGATGTATGCGGACGTTTGCCGGCCACTAGTGCTGTGCAGCTTTAGTGCCGGCACAAGGACGAGGGCACGACAACCACACGATGATGATGCCATGGAAGTAACTCTTGCGAAACACTCGCTGGCACGGACCCCGACTCATGGACAACTACCGTATGTACGCGTGCGCGTCGCCCCTCTACACAAGACACATGATCAAGGGACAGCCGTCAACTTCTTCAACCCTTTGTACCGCCTGCGGCTGGTGCGTCAAACACCCGCCGACACGTGAAAGGACGAAAACCAAAACACGAACACACACGGGCCTGAGGTTTCTTCATTGGTCACGCTGTTCCCGCGGACGATGCTAAAATAGCGCGTAGTGATGCTACTGCTATAGACTGTACGTCAACACACTTCCTCCCGCGGGTATTGCTTGGCTGTATGCATAATTGCTCCGAGTGTTTGGTCCTGTACTACGAGTCAGCGGCGTTTTTCTTACGGTCGATGTTTGCCATCCATCTTACTTTTTGTGGGTGGGGAGGGAGGGGCGCGAACAGAGGGACAGCCCGTTGAATTTGCAGTACGGAGATCTACTCTACCCTTCCACGAGCTGTGGGTGATACTGGAAATGTTGAGGTAGAAAGTGCAAAACACCGATATACCCGAAGCTCCAGCAAAAACACGAGTACAGAGTGCCAGCTTTCGCTTAAGAAGCTCGACGAATAAAACACTTTGGATCCCCCCCCACAGATCCCTGAGATCCAACTACTTTCGGCTGCGCCTGTTGCCAACGTCTCCGCTTCGTAACCATTGCGTACATACGTTTTGTCATTGGGAGGCCTCCATCACCCAAGGGTGCGTCGCTCATTCGCCAAGTCTCCTTTGTGTGTGTCTGCGCTGGAAGTGGCCTCTGTTGGTGTGTGTACAGAGGCCGCCACACACACAAATCGGCGCGTGTATACTACTACGCTGTAGGAGCAGCTGTGATCTGTCCAACCCAAGCCGACAACTACAAGCTGCTGTATCTACGTCGAACGCATTCATTCTCGAAGAGGTTGTATGGACGCGACATTGGACGGGTGGGGGCATGTTTGTAAAGCCGCAGTGCTACTCGGCCGTTTTCGCCACTGAAGCGTCCAACGCATCCGATAGTATGAGGTTAATGATATGGCACGTGCCTCTGAGATCTCCTCGCAACCACGAGCTGTTGCCAGCGTCAGGATATGGGACAGATTTGGGCTTGTGAGACATGCATGCCAAGAGCCCGCCAAACGTCATCGAGATCGCAACAACAGCCGCAGCTGCCGGTAGCTCACAGCGCCAACACTAGATAGACAGCATCACCAGCCTTTGGCCTTGCAGAAGGAACTCGGAGATAACCATACACTCTCCGCGTACTCCCTGAAGTCTCCCCAAGTCTTCGTGAAGCCAGCAGCAGTGGACAGGTGCAACCAGTAGAGTAACATGCGAGGAGGGGCTGCACATCTTGGCAAAACAGAGATCTCAACTTGAGACAGCGGCAGGGAGGCACGTGCGGACCATAGCCAGGAGATAACGCAAACAGCAGGCACCGCAGACTAGTTGAATCTAGTTCAGGGGGGTGCCAGCAACCAGGCAGAGCAGTCACAATGACATCGTCGAAGCTCTCTTCGATTTCATCGCTGTCGTGTTTAGCACCACCGATCCCAAGAAAGAAACAAAACGCATGCATGTATGTGCCATGAGCAGCCTCCCTCTCCGTCTCGCTTGCAAGCTTTCCCGCCAGACAAAGGACGCGAGCGGCTACGACCAAAGGAGCGCACGCTCACCTTGGAGCTGCCACAAGGGCGGCGGCGACAAACTGGATGACCTTCATCTTTGCGTGTGGTGTGGTGTGGAGCGAAGGTGAGCTAGGTAGCGCGAGAGAGCGAGGTAGATGATGTGTGCGCAGGATGGATGTGCGGCGCAGATGGCATCGAACAAACTGGGCGGGGACGCTACAAGGTGCCCCCTGGGTTTCCACTTTCTCGGAATACAAGCGGGAGGAAACCATGAGTCTTTATCGCTGCATGTGAACCACTGCTGTCCCAGCTGAATGCATCTTTTCCCGCTGGCTTCCAATGGAAAGTGAAGTACGAAGAAACATCCACCGTATCCATGCATGCATATTGTGAGAGGGCGATCCCAAGGACCCATAAAACGCCCACATGAGCAGGTCGGCGAGAGGTTTTCCGCACAACTGCCCTCTCTTGTCTTTTTAGGTCAACGAGGTATTTCTACATATGCTTGGACGGAATACCGTACGAGTCATCGTCGACCAGGAACATATACGGACTTGATTAACATGACTCTCTTAGTAGGCAAAAACAAACTGAACGACTACCCGTTCGGGAAAATACGTACCCCGTTCGAAGGCATGTGTTCAAATGAAATATTCACTGGATCATTACGGGGGTAAATCTGCTGGGTGATAATCGACTTGGAAGTATGAGTCTGTTCGAGTGGTGAACACACCTGAGACAGCAGTTATACCATCACAAGAAACCAAACATCTACCAGGTATGACCAAACTGACTGCTGTTTGAGCGATAATATCGTAACGCCCACCGCACACCCTTCAGCGGGCTAAAACACGAATTGCTGCGAGCGCGTCCCCCCAATGATGCGTGCAAACCTGAACGCGAGTGATGGTAACCACAGTTCATGGAGGCCTGGTCTTCCCCACCCAGAGGAACAAAAACATACGACCGCCGGTTCTAACTGCGACTTCACGAAAATGGGCGCCATCCAGGGGTGCAACAGCGGCTAGGGGGGCAGCTCAATCAATATCCTGTGCCTAACAAAGACCCTTTGGATGCAAGCCAAGCGGGAGGCACCGGGGGAGGGCGCCGCTGGAGAACGACCGCTTGTGAACGAACCCTTTTGGAAGCAACTCTGACGTAACCAAACCGAGGAGTACTGCCTGTAACGTGTCAAATCTCTTAGCCTCCCGTGCCGCAAAAGCCTAGCTTTCGGCGCCGTGAGTATTTTCCGTATGTACTAGATAAATGAAATGATTACTCTACGTTCATCACGCAGCCAAGCCCCAGATAGGGCAGGCAAGGGGCGGCAGGGACAGGCAATAAGACACCATGCCATACTCCCAAAACAGACCCGACCCCTCAAACCAGGACTGACTCTAACAAAAGACCGGGACCGAAATGTCAGGCGCCCTTCTCAGCAACAACAACAAAAAAGCTGGCGCACCGAACTGGTCGTGTCACTATCTGTGCGGTCGTCTACGATCCCCACCCGATGATCGCCTTCTTCGCCGCAGCCTAAGGTCTATGATAAGAATAGTACCACGAAGGTGAAGCTTCCTCCCCCGACAAAAAAGAAAACGTTTTTCGTTTCCCCTTTTTGTGCTGGTTGTATTACTTGCTGTGGATGCCGCACTCGGTCTTCTCGGAGCCGTCCTTGTTCTTCATGCCCTCGAACCTGCCGGACCGCTCCCCGCCGTAGCTGAACCAGTTCTCGAGCGGAACCTTGCGGGTGCTCTGCATGTCTCCCAGAGAGGAGAAGCCGACGTCGTGCAGGGGGTGGTAGGGCACGTTGTGCTTCCGCAGGTAGGTCCAGCAGTCCTCAAACGACCAGAAGGCCAGCGGGTTGAACTTGGTCCCCTCCCACACGGGCAGGGCGGCGCGCTCGAAGCCGTGGTCTCGGCGGCGACCGTTGATCCAGGCCTCCGTCTCCGCCTCCTTGAGGGCCCGCATCAGCGGCTCCACCTTGCACTTCTTGTCGTACTGGTCGATGTCCTCCATCCAGTAGTCCTCGCCGTACCTGCGGGAGCCGCGCCGTTGTGGTCATGTTTGTTGTTTGATCCAAGGATATTCGTTTTGCGAACAGGATCAGCCCAAATAATACTTGTATTGCTATTTGTATTGAGGTAGGGGGGGGGATCAATCAAGCAACCCCGATGGGGGATATTTTCCCCTGGATACACGTTGAGCGTCACGACGATCAGTGAAGTTGGTGATGGTAACGTGTCCGCGCGAGGGCTCTTTATGCCTTGAACGGCAGCGGCCATGAAGGTTAAAATAAAATTAGAAGCAAACTAAAACGAACGCTAAAGAGCCCGAGCGAGT